TACTTACGTTCTTATGATTTGGTCGGTTCTGTTACACCGAGGCTCCTAATATATGATGACTCTCAGGCCTGGCCCTTGGCTCCTGCCCCACCAATGACGCTAGCCAAGGCCCAGGCGCAAGAAGACATGCCTCGAGCTACCGAGGCTCGAGCGCTCACCAGTGCTGCCCCTTGGGCACAGCATTGCTGGCCACTTTCCCGACAAGGTCATGTGTGGGGCTTGACACAAGAAGACAAAGCTTCCCAGTGGCCTCTAGGGGCTCGGAGGCCCTAGGCCCATGCGTCAGCCCCTGAAGCTGACCTCCTTCACCACCAAGAAGACTCCAGAAGGTCCACCTGGGGGAGGCCGGTCCAAGACGACATAACCTGACATGCAGAGTGTTAGAACAAAGCAGCCGAATGGCGCCTAAGGCTTCTTCGGCTCCACGACGCCGCCACGGTCCACAGTGCGTCGCTGCAAGGCCCTCCAAGACTCCAGTGCATGTAGACCGTAGATTAGTTTCCCCAAACCGCCATATACCCAACCTATCTCATTATATAAGAGATAAGGTCGGACCTAGGGAGACAGATCAGAACAACAACGATCACGAAGACAGATCATCCCATTCTTTAGCCTCCGCTCTGCACCAAGGGCAAGGCAACCCACCGAGGGGCACCGAGAGCTCCTCCACCGCATCCCGTGATCTTCCTCCTCTCCGACGAGGGAAAGGCTCCACTGGTGGTGAGGCAACCTTAGGATTAGCTCTGAGCTAACCTCCTACCAAATCTCTCTACAATCCTGTTGTAACCCCCTAATTTTGGGTGCTTTTGAGTATAAGGATCATCAGCTGCTGGACGTAGGGCACCAATTGGCCTGAACCAGGATAAACCGTTGCATCCTCTCTGTTATTCGTGTGTTCTTGAATCCACCCGAGCCACCGGAGACCCGTACTTTGACACCGGCTCGAACAACAATGCTTGCCACGGTTTTGACCCCATGATAGGTAGCCTCTAGAAAAATAGGGCGGTGCCACAACCACCCTGGGCGGTGCACCGCCACCCCATGGTGGTGACCTGGGCGGTGCGCACTGCCATGTCCGCTGCCACCAATCCTGCTGTCGAACGATTCAATCATGATTTTGAATCAAGTTCCAATCTCCGATGATCTAGGGCTTCATCTGATCTACCTAATGCTAGATTAAACAAATGTGCACCACATTCTTCTCACTAGACTCACCTAGGTCAAGCTACCTGAAAGTGCATCAAGCCCTTTAGTGGGTTTTGGATGATTGAATGACAACGTGATTCAAGGGCTAACCCGTTTGCTAAGTGTGGATAGGTAATAGGTTATCTCACAGGCACTTAATGAAAGCCAAAATGATGTGTTGTTGTATAAACAATCTAGTTCAAGCACAAAACAATAATTCAAATGGAATTCATGTAAAGGCTTATTTATTGTGGGATTTCCATGTACTATGTGAAAGCAAGCCCGGTAAAAATTAGTTGATGAGACATGAGGGATTGCACATGGAATGGTCTCATATTTGAAGCTTGTAAATTGAAATGAAAAAGATAATACAAATGAATGGATGATTCAACACAAGATGTGACTTGATGGCTTGAGATGGTGAAGATAACAAGGAAAGGCTTTGAGGTACTAAGCAAGGGTGAAGGGCAAGCGACGGCTTGGTGGCCGAAGAACCTAGCTAGGGTGAAGAAGAAAGTACTTGCATTTAGTTGAGGTACTAATCAAGCTATGATGGTCATATCGATGTGGAGGATCAAATCTATATTGGACAAAGTGTTGGAAGTGACTTGATGCATTTGGAGTTATTCATATTTAATGAAAGGAATCAAGTCACGTGCTCAAGATGGATATGCTCAAGTATAAAGATCAATATCAACATGTTGGCAACCTCACTTGATGAAGATTAAAAGAGACGGCACTAATTCGAAAGGGATCAACTCAAGCGGTATAAATTCATTTTTCATTTGATCTTGAGTTTAATAGGTATGCCATACTATTAAGAGGGATGCATCATGTTGATAGATAATTATTCATAAGTGCTCATGCCAACCCATGTGAGTTTTGAGTGTTTGAGAGACAAAAGAGCTAACCTATTTTTTGCTGGTCTGTATTGATACCGGATGTGTCCGGTATTTGCCCAGCAATGGTTGTTGTTCTCGGGTTGGTTCATCGGGAGGGAGTTCCAACATCTCACGCTTAACTGACTTGGAGTGTTCACTATCGGCCAGAGGCCAACGGCTAGTTTTCAAATGCCTTGACGGTCGGGAGTTCCGACGGTCGGGAGTTCCAGCATGCATCAGGAGTTCTGACACCTCACATACTTTAACTCTGTTACCATAGTTTTCAAATGTGCTGAGGGTTAGGAGTTCTGAAGTGAGTTGGGAGTTCGGACGTGAGTCGGGAGTTCTGACGGTCAGAAGTTCCAGCATTCATTGGGAGTTCCGATGCCTCACAACGTTACTGTAACTCAGTTACCGTTGACGCAGTGTAAGTCATACCGGACGTGTCCTCCGGTATGGCAACGGCTATAAAACGCTAGTTTTTCCAAGGGGGCTATAAATACCCCCAAGCCTCCACCTTTGGAGGCTGCTGATTCTGCTGGTTGCAATACACGTTTTTGAGCCTTGCCAACTCTCCCAAACCCTCTCTTAGTGAGTGTGTAATCCAAATCGCAAAATCCATTTGTGGGTTAAGAGAGAATTTGAAAAAGAGAGCAAACCACCACTTGAGGACTTGTGCATATTGTCAATCTCATGATTAGCATTTGTTACTCTTGGACTCTTCGGTCCTAGATGGCTAGGCGTCGCCGGAGAGCACTCGAGAGATTGTGGTATGCCTCGAAAAGTTTGTAACGGTCGATTCCGCCGCCTCGGAATCAACTAGTGGAAGGAGGAAAAGGAGTTGGAAAAGACTCCGGCTAGAGTGACCTTCGTGGTACCCTCTAGGGCGGACCTTCGCTGGGTCGCCCGTAGCCCCCTCAACGGAGAGTAAGACTCAAACGAGTCCGAACTTCGGTAAAACAAATATCGTGTCTCAATTCGCATTTTATTTGATATTTGTGTTGCTCTAGCTCTTGTGCAGGTTCTCTGTGTATATTGTCATCTCCAATAGATACCTGCAGTTTGGTTTGAAGATAGAAATCGAAAAAAGCAAGTTTGGGGCTACTCTGCAGAAACCGTGCATACCGGACACGTCTAGTATACATACCGAACACGTCCGGTATTTCCTGCCTGTGCTGAATATATTTGTTCTCTGTTCTAACTTTGTGTTGCAGGGTTGTAGCTTCTATATATATATTCTTTATACCTTGTATACTCTGTGTCTAATTTGTGAGGGGTGGTATTACTCGTTATTTGGAGTTTCCATTTTGGAAACTCCCTTTACTAATCATTTTCGCATTTAAAGGTGTTAATTTTCAGAAACGCCTATTCAACCCCCCCTCTAGGCGGCATCCTAGGTCCTTTCACTACCCATCCATGCCCCCCTTTATAGTACGACCAAAGGAAAAACAAAGTCCTAAACTAATCTAAGTGTCTCTCAACTCCGAACGACACTTAGAACTAGTCCATCCTTAACCTTGTTGTCCAACCTTTGAAAATCGAAACGATTTCTATCGACAGGGGCATGAAAACCATAATTGCCCAATCAATCACCATTATCGTGACCTAACTTAAATTGTCTTTGCAAAACACACGTTAGTCGCAGTAAACTTGTGTCGTCATTAATAACCGAAACCCAACTAGGGGCCTAGATACTTTCACCATGCTTTGGTTGCCAACATGAACCTTAGAAACCCAGTAGAGCCAAGAGAGTGCCCTAACCCTAAAGCCACCCTATGCCAATACTTCCTAAAAGGCCCCCCCCCAAAAAAAAAATTGGTGTCCCCATAGACTATCTATGGTGTTCACACAGATGGTCTGTTAGCGTGCCACGTTAGCTAGTGGGTTTGACAGCTGTCTGAGTTCTCAAAGTTCTAACGGACAGTCCGTTGTGTCCTCACGAACCAACTGCCAAATCATGTACCGGTGACTTAACATGTTGCATGTGTTGTGTTGTCCACCCCCCATACCCCATGGACCCACTTGTTAGTTCATAGGAGAGTTAGTCAGCACCAGAACAACCATTCCCCTCACCCACCCTCTCCCACTCTCCTCCCTCTATAATCCAAGGAGAGGAGAGGGCATGAAGAAGATGAAAGGGGAAGTAGGGAGAAGAAGGGCAATGCAAGATGGGGAAAAATCAAGCCCTTCCTTAACCCCATCATCCTCCATCATAGAGTGAGCTAAAGCATACATATTTTACATTTCTAGCAATCAAATACAAGTAGCTAAAGCATTGTCATGCATCGACGGACTATCATAAAGCTATGCAATTAGCGATTGTTTGGTTTGTTTGAACTGGAAGTTGTATAGTGTTATGTCTACGTGCATAGCGAACATTATGCATGTAAAAAACTAAAATGACTTACAATTTGGAACGAATGGAGTATAGTTTTCTTCTATTATCTCATATAAGGTAATAGGTGATCATGACCATCCAGATCTAAATGAATGGACGGTCCACACTTAAATCCAAATAGTGTAGCAAAGCCCATAGTTCTGACTCTTGGAATCTAGAGGTGTAGTTGGCTGCTTTGCACAGTGCCTGTCTCTGTGTACTGGGTGCAACTGTGCACACCTAGTGGATCACAACGCACTAAGGCACATTACTTTCAGTTTGGCCATGCATATAGTTAGTCTTCGGAACGTAACCATTTCGCAAGTGAAAATAAATGAGGCCAAATTGATGTCAGGTTGATCACTCCCAAAACATAATTTCTTTGACAAATCATCTAAAAAGAATAAATGCCAGCATGTCATACGAATAAGTACGCATATTTAATTATCTATTTAAGTACATTTTATTTCTGAGCATGTGCACCAAGATGAAGAACACCGTACTGGCATTCCACATTTCCACTAACCAGAAGGTCGACGCGGAGGAAGACGGTGGTGCTAGCAGTTTGTGGAGGGCAGCTCGGCCGCGGAGCCCCGCCCTGCCTCCTCGTCGACGCTATCGGCGGGGAGGCGCAGCACGGCGTGGACCAAGACGAGCAGGAGCCCGACGGGCAGTGCGACGGTAACGCTCGCCGTGGCACCGATGAGCACGAGCAAGAGGAGCGTGAGCGCCAAATGCACGGGGAAGACCTTGGAACGCATGGTGAAGAAGCAAGGGAGGACGATGGGCATGCGGAAGGGCGGCCATAATAGAAGGGACACCGAGAGGACGACGAGGAAGACGAGCTTGTAGTTGTCGGCGAAGTGCGCGAGGTTCGCGCGCGCGCGGTGGTAGGCGTCGGTGAAACCCCCCGGGACGGAGAGTGCGCTCGGGTCCGCGAGCTCGCGCCAGGGACGGCACCTGCTGGCCAGCAACGCACACGAGCCGGGGACGTTAGCGCGGCAGGTGACGTCGAGCGCGGTGGATCCGATGCCCTTGGGCGTCGGGGCCGACGAGGAGGAGGCGGAGATCGTTCCGTACTTGGACATGCCTGTCTGGACTCTGGATCGGAGGAGGCCGGCGAGAAGGAGGATGAAGGTGTGACTGGTGTGCCGGTCGCGAGCGCCACGCGGTGGGGGGTCAACAACCTTGACTGTTCGACCGGAAGGATTTATTTATATATACACAGGTGTATTTGCGTGAACCGTTAGTTTTCAAAGAAGGAAAATAAATATTTGCGTGAGCCGTCAAAGTATGAGCAGAAATCGTTTTTTTTTTACAACAGTATGAGCAGAAATCGTTGACACCATCGGTCCATCCCGACTGTGATCGGTGGGGTCAGTCGCCGTGTGGTCGGGTTCATCGTGCCTGGATTTTCTGGTGAGGCGTCCAAACAAAAATGGAAATCACGAGCACAAGATTTTGGACCGGAACATGAAATTTTGTTAGGCTCGGGCTGGGCATTTCAATCGTACGGCGGTCAAATTGCACGCATGCGCACTCGCCCCGCTTGAGCTACAGCCCCATCTCCAACGGAGTGCAGTAGTGTGGGAAAAAGTTCACATTGCGTCCCTTAACTTTCGCGAAAGTCCATTTTTTTTCTCTGAACTATAAAACCGGATAAATTATCTCCCTTAACTTTTAAAACCGTTAATCTTACCTCTCTGGCCCTGTTATAAGCAGTTTTAAAGGCGATTTTATCTTTTTCTTTTTTTATTTATTTTGGCTGAATTTTTGAAAAATCACAATAAATCACAGATAAAACATAAAATAGAAAATTCAATTTTGTTAGACTCCACATGAGTAGATCTACACAGTAAACATATAATATGATATGCTTTAGTACAAAGTTTTTGCTGTGGCTTTATATCTATCCTCTTCTGTAATTAACTGGAATAATTCATAGCTGTAGTTTTTATGGTCCAATTGTGATGAAATTTTTATGGTGGGCTAATTATTGTATGCTTAAACTGTAGTAAAAATTTAATACTCATTGGATCATGTGTGACTTAGTTATACATTTTATTTAGGTTTATTGTTATAGATTTTTTTCTGGTAGCATTTATTTTAGTTTTCAGTCTTGTTTTTTTAGTGTTTTTTAGTTTCAGTTTTCATTCAGGTGTTTTATAATATTTTTTTTGTTTCAGTTTTCAGTCAAGTTTTTTTAGTTTCACTTTTTTAACTTTTTAGTTTCATATTTCAGTCACCATTTTACGTTCAAATGTCTTCCTAAATCCTGCATATTAGTTGCCTCACCTAAAATGTATAAGTTGCTACAAAACGGTAGCCATTGCACAGATAAGTGACACAAAAAGAATTTGCCCTTCCATTTTAGTTTTGAGTCAAGTTTTTTTTCGGTTTTTTTTAGTTTTAGTGTTCAGTCTTGTTTTCTAATGTTCTTTAGTTTTAGTTCTCTGTTTTTTTTTCAGTTTTTTTATTTTCATTTTTTTGTATTTTTTTAGTTTTAGATTTCAATTTTTTTTTAGTTTCAGATATCAGTCACCCTTTTAGGTTCAAATGTCGTCCTAAATCCTGCATATTAGTTGCCTCACCTACAATATATAAGTTGCTACAAGAGGGGTGCATCTTATCTTATTTTGAGGTTGCTACTTTTGTCTTTTTAATAAATGACCCTCCAATTTTCTGCTAGTCATGTAGTCCTGCTTATATAGTGGGTTTTATAATAACTTGTCCCTCTAGTTGGTAGCTTACGCAATACTTGTTCTAATAATTTGCCTCCATATTTCAACTTGTCCTGTTTTGTTTCATTACCCTCATTTTTTAATAAATGTCCCGATGAGCAGCCAGTCATGTTTCCTTGCTTTTTTAATGTGTTTTATAATAGCTTGCCCCTTAATTGGCAACTTATATAATATTTATTTTAATAATTTACCTCTTCAGATTAGAGCTTGTCTTGTTTTGGTTCGATAGTCTCTTTAGGGGGGGGGTTTAGTACCTTTATTTAAATACTATATAACAAATTTATGATATTACCATGATAACAACGCTGTGGGAAAAACTTTAGTATATTTTTTAAGTAGTAACTTTAGTATTACATAGTAGTAACTCCTTTGATAAATCTCTTAGCACATTTACACATAAATTGCTACTAGAATAAAAATTTTCGAAACATTTGCAAGTGCGGTCTAGTTTTAATCGCCTCGTCACGTAGAACATACCAATGCAGACGGAATTGAAAACGGATACACCGTTCAAAAGTTATAGCAATTCGAAGAAAATGTTTTGATTTAGTTTGCTTACGTCAGCTTTTTGTCAGCTTGTATGCACTATTGTCGGGCACATCCGCACATGCAGCAGAAAAGCGGGGGACGGCCGGACTGGAGTAGGGATTGCAGTGATGTCGGGCGGAAAGTCGCGCGCTCGCCTTTTTACCGCGACCGGTCGCGCTTTATCCCCCTCCAAATCATAAGCAGTACTTCCTCCATCCTAATTTATTTGACATTTCAAGAATATTATAGAGTTAAAAGGATAGCAAGTTTAACTAAATTTATATAATAAGATAATAATATTTATAATACCAATAAAATATCATTAAATTCTTTATTAATTATATTTTTATAGTATACATATTTGATGTTATAAATCATTATAATTTTCTCGATAATTTTGGTCAAACTTAAGATGTTCTGACTCTCCAAAATTCTTGAAATAACTTATAATCTAGAATGGAGAGAGTAGTTTACAAAGATTGACACGAATTATTATTCCTGTTGAAAATGCTACAGCTTACTTGCACAGTGGCGTGTGAAGTGGTATGCTTAATAGCCTAACATCAAAATGAACAAGGCGTGTTGATATCCGCCATTCTTGCCTGTCAAGCTAAACATCTTCCCTCTTGTTTGTGGTTTTTTGCAATCTTCATCACCACATGTGGCATGTGGTACAGTTGTATTGGTTCGTTAGAATTGATGCAGCACAGGCCGGAGGCTCCAAAAATATATCATGGGTGCATTTTTGAATTTTGAACAATACAAGCTGCCAGGCCAGACACATGGCCTCTGCTTCAAGTACTAGACTAGAGACCATGAGCACCCCCCACAGGGCCACAAGCCCACAACCACAAGCGGAGTTCTTATTCCAATAGAAATAGTTTTTTTACAACTTTTAATATATAACGTTAAAGCACAGTACATCAGTGTGAGAAAAGAATTCCTAGATTAGAAAGGAATTCCCAGATTACAAAGCACAGTCAAGTAAAAGCTACTGCTGATCTGCTTCTGTAGACAGGTGATGCTTCCGTCGGAGGCGCGAGTCCGCCGGGGCCACAGGGCCCACGAGAAGTGGCCACCACTATCGGAATCCTCAAATTTGCCGAGTGTTTTTATATTTGCCAAGTGTATTCCCTCGGGCACTCGGCGAACAAGTTCTTTGTCGAGTGCCAAGCTAAAAACACTCGGCAAAAAAAAACACTCGGCAAACAGGACGTTTTGCCGAGTGTCAAAACAAAAACACTCGGCAAAGAGGTTGTTTGTCGAGTGTTAAAAAAAATACACTCGGCAAACAAAAATAAAATATTTTTTCTGAAAGAGAAGGAGGAGAAAAAAAACTTTACCGAGTGCTCAGATCTAAAACACTCGGCAAAAAAAAGTAGGAGAAGAAAAAAATTTAAAAAAAAACTTTGCTGAATGCCCCATCTGGGACACTCGGCAAACAACAAAAAATCTACTAAACCTAACCGCGTCCAGCACCCCACCCACCCTCCCGTCCTCACCCCTTCTCTCTCCTCCCCCGCCCCAGTGCCCTCCTCCCTCCTCCACACACGCCAAGACGTCGTCGCCCCCCTCCCTCTCGGCACCAAGGCCCGCCCCCCTCCTCCCTCCTCCTCTCCTCCCGGTCACACAGACCTGCCCTCCCTCCTCCTGTTGCCAAGCCCTCCCTCCTCCTCCCTCCCTCGGCTGCCTGCCTCCCCTCCCCCTCCTCGTCGCACGGCTGTCCTCCCTCTCCTGGATCCGGCTGCGCCGCCCCCTTCCCGGCCCTCCCTCTCTAGATCCGGCAGTGACGGGCATGGTGGTGGTGGCGGAGGGAGGAGCGGCGGATCCGGTGGTGTGCTCGTCGGCGTTCGTAGCTCCACGAGGAAGCAACGGGCGACGCGCGACGCTGGCGAGGACGGGCTTGGACGAGGCTCGTCGAGGTGGATGGCACGGCGGTGGAGGCTCGACACCGCGACTTCCTGGTGACGGCGAGCAGAGGTGGCCGCAGCGAGGGCGTCGCAGCTCAGCGGCGTGGCGGAGTAGGAGCCTGCGATGGTCGCAGATGACGACGTCGCTGTGGCGAGCGGCTCGAGGAGGCGGCTTTGCTGGTAGCGCGGTGGTGGTGCGGCGTGGTGGGGCCCTCCCTTCTTCCACGACGTGCTTTTTTTTATTTTTTTTGAAAAAAAAAGTTTGCCCAGTGTTTTTTGGGCACTCGAAAACTTCTTTGCCGAGTGCCCGACAGAAAACACTCGGCAAACTAGCGTTTGCCGTTAACAAGTTTGCCAAGTGTAACCCATGGCCGAGTGTTTTTGGGGCTTCGCCAAGTGCCCCTGGTACTCGGCAAATATCCTATATCCGGTAGTGCACAACCAAAACATCGAGGGTCCTCGTTCTCGCACTACAATAGCATAGTCGACGCTTCCCTCAACTATCTAATCGGTTTGTGCCTTCGAGGATAAGTAATCTTGAGCTGTGGATAGGATAAAGTTTCATCGTACTCATGAAAATAGATCCACTGCCACCGATGCCAAATCTGATGACCTACTTCAACTCACGATAACGGTCGACCCGAACACCAGTACAACAGAATGGCAGAACTATGCCGATTGAAAAGATGCTGTGCATGCAGTACACCCCATCCAAAATGAAAGAGAGTGAGAGACGTTGAGGCCCTGGCTTGGATGGCACGCGTCATCAGGAGGGAGCCGAGAAGGACAGCAGAACCAAATGCATGTGGAGCACGTAGCAGATGTGGGCCCCATAGCACAGTAGCTGGGACCCGCCCTGAAACACAGGAGAACCGAAAAGGAATCCCAAGCAATCGGAAAACCGCCGCC